CGGGACTTTTTGTGAAAGTTGTGTGATCCTTGTCTCTAAACAATGACAAATAGACCCCTAGGTCTGACCAAAGTCCTAATACATTCTCCAAGACCAGAAGGCTCAGTCGACAAAGAAGACAAAAAGATAAGGATTCCTATTTTCAGCTAGATAACATTTAAAACATCACAGTCACATATCTGAAAAAAATTATCCTTATCTTTGTGTAATTTTTTTTATTAAAGTAACAAACATGTTATACAGTGGGAATCGAAAGTTTGGGCACCCCAGCTAAAAAATTGTATTAATGTGCATAAAGAAGCCAAGGAAAGATGGAAAAATCTCCAAAAGGCATCAAATTACAGATTAGACATTCTTATAATATGTCAACAAAAGTTAGATTTTATTTCCATCATTTACACTTTCAAAATAACAGAAAACAAAAAAATGGCGTCTGCAAAAGTTTGGGCACCCTGCAGAGTTAATATCTTGTACTGCCCCCTTTGGCAAGTATCACAGCTTGTAAATGCTTTTTGTAGCCAGCCAAGAGTCTTTCAATTCTTGTTTGAGGTATCTTTGCTCATTCTTCCTTACAAAAGTCTTCCAGTTCTTTGAGATTTCTGGGCTGTCTGTCACGCACTGCTCTTTTAAGGTCTATCCATAGATTTTCAATTATGTTGAGGTCAGGAGATTGTGAAGGCCATGGCAAAACCTTCAGTTTACGCCTCTTGATGTAATCCCCGTGGATTTCGAGGTGTGTTTAGGATCATTAATCCATTTGTGGAAGCCATCCTCTCTTTAACTTCAGCTTTTCACAGATGGCATCAAGTTACCATCCAAAATTTGCTGACATTTTATTGAATCCATTTTTTCTTCTACTCGTGAGATGTTCCCTGTGCCACTGGCTGCAACACAACCGCAAAGCATGATTGATCCAACCCCATGCTTAACAGTTGGACAGAGGTTCTTTTCATTAAATTCTGTGCCCCTTCTTCTCCAAACGTACCTTTGCTCATTCCGGCCAAAAAGTTCAATTGTAACCTCATCGGTCCACAGAACTTGTTTCCAAAATGCATCAGGCTTGTCTATATGTTCATTTGCAAAGTTCAAACGATGATTTTTGTGGTGAGGACGTTTAAGAGGTTTTCTTCTGATGACTCTTCCGTGATGACCATATTTGTACAAGTATCTCTTTATAGTGGAATAGTGTACCACAACTCCATGTCTGCCAGATCTTTCTGGAGGGATCGTGCAGTCAAACGTGGGTTTTGAATTGTTTTTCTCACAATCCTGCAAGCTGTTCTGTCTGATATTTTTCTTGGTCTTCCAGATCTTGCTTTAACTTCCACTGTTCCTGATGACTGCCATTTCTTAATTACATTCCGAACATAGGATATTGACATCTGAAAACGCTTTGCTATCTTCTTATAGCCTTCTCCAGCTTTGTGAGTGTCAACTATTTTCAGTTTCAGTTTTCTAGACAACTGCTTAGAAGAACCCATGGTGCTGATTGTTGGGGCAAGGTCAGATGAGTCTGGGCATTTAAAACCTTTGAGATTGACATAACCTGGTCTTCCCAGACGATGATTGAGAACAATCCATGACACTGGCAGGTCTCAGCTTTGCAAAGGGGGCAGTGCATGCTATAAATTCTGCAGGGTGCTCAAACTTTTGCAGATGCCATTTTTTTGTTTTCTGTTAATTTGAAAGTGTAAATGATGGAAATAAAATCTAACTTTTGTTGACATATTATAAGAATGTCTAATCTGTAATTTGATGCCTTTTGGAGATTTTTCCATCTTTCCTTGGCTTCTTTATGCACATTAATACAAATTTTTAGCTGGGGTGCCCAAACTTTCGATCCCCACTGTACTTACCTGCTCTGTACAATGGTATTGCACACAGTGGCCCTGAATCTCCTCTTTTGGGGTTCCGGGTCAGCGCTGTTCACTCCTCCTGTTGGTGTCTGCCCCCATAGCAAGTGCTTTCTATGGGGGCAAATGTGGGGGCTCGCTGGGCACTACATGCATCCTGCAATCTCCCTTCATTCTCACCAGTCTTACATTTTACAGTGTTACTAAACCCAGGACCCTGCATTCACTATATCCGGTCTCCCACAGTACACAGGACATGGAAGTGCAAATGTTTTAGTAAATATAAACTGCTAAATACCTTTTCTCATCAGCAGTTAGAGCAGTCTTGTGACTTCTATCAGTGTTCAGCTAAGCTTGTATGGGGAGTTTCTTTCTGCTCTAGGAGGATGCAGAACCCCTGAACTTGGTCTGGACAGTGTTGATTGGCCCTGTGCTGATCACATGCACTCTCCCTAGGAAAAAAAAAAAAAAACCTCCCAAGCAATACACACCAAACTGAGCATGTACAGAGTGTCTCCACACTATGTCTTATCAGGACATAAGAGGGGGGTACTGGAAGAAGGGGAGGATCAAAGAAGTCAGAATAAAACAGCATTTTTACACAATGCAGTAGATTAACCCTTTAGGTTCCACAGTGAGTTTATCAAGCATGTTTTACTGGATATACAGACTGATTTTACTGTTTGGGTTCAGTAACACTTTAAGTGAGGGGTGTTGTAGGGTTACAGGGAGGACTAGTGTGGGAGCCAATGCTCTCTACTATTTAACTAATAGTGCTGATATCCAAACACAAAAAGCTTGAGTTCCATGAAGGTCCTATACAGCTAAGACTGTCTGCAAGTCCGTATTTGCATAGACTTACATATGCATCTCCCACCCCCCTACCTATAGGTTCAAGCACTAAATGCTGCACTGCAGGATACCCCAGCCTAGAGGTATATGTATCACAGACTCCAGGAGCACTGTCAGCAGGCTTATTGTAACAAGTAAGGCATAATCTTATGGTGCCTACCAGTTTTCATACCTTTTTTTTCTAATTTTTGAACAAAACAGGGAAGGGACTCCCCTGCTGTCAGATTACACAGATTTCTGCTGCTGCTATTGGCTGCAGCCACTGATCGAGTAGCTTTTACCTGGCAGGGCATTTGAACAGATTGTAGATCAGTAGACCGACTTCTGTTCAACTCTAGTGGCCACACATTGATCGAAGTTTGGCTTGGCCCTTCTGAATTGGTGGAATTTTGATCCATCGATGGCCACCTTAAGTAAATACCTCAACTTACATGCTCTTCTGCCTCTTCCAGGGACCATTTGAGTTCATGTGTGATTAGCACTGCAGAGTCCATCCTACAAAAATGTCCTTCAGTGGGGAAATAGACCTCCTTAAACTTCAGAAGCTACACACAGTATTATCAAAAGTGTTGGGGGAATACATCTATGCACTATGCGATATTCGAGCATACATGAGTACCGATGTATACCTGCATACAGCTACACGCAGCCATTAATGTCAATGGGTTTCCTGGGTGGGGAAAGATGCCCATGTACCTGCTGTACATGGCCTTATATGTCCATGTGCATGAGGCCTTAGAATGACACTAAATGATATCCTACCTAATGGCCCTGTACCCTTATTCTTCAATTATTCTGTGTTTTTCTGCTCCTTGTAATATCTTTCATAGGCTCCAAAACCTGTACTTTTCCCTCTTGCTGCAGTTTGTTTGGAATGGGCAGTGCACATTAGCTGCATTCATGTGCAATGCTCTACAAATCCCATAGTTCATAGGGTCTAGTCTACGGTCTAGTTCTCGGGAGTGAGCAAGAGAGGGTGGCTACGTTCCTACATACAGTGAGATAGTGGAGTATCTATGTAGCCATCCTCTAACAGGAAGTCAGATTACAGCAGCAAAAAAAGGAATTTGGAGGAGGCTGAGAGAAATAAAAGGTATTGTGGAGTTAAAGCAGTATTGAACCCAAAAGCAAACATTTATTATACTGCAGCTTTCCAATTCTTAGTTGTGATGGCTGTATTAGTTGTCTTTTTTTTAGGCTTTCTTAATTCTATTTTCATCTTGTCACCCAGGCAGTAAGTCTACTGCTTTTCAAAAGAACAAGCTTTCTTGCAAAAGTATCAGGTTCAGGGAAGAGACAAACCATTGACCACTGACAGGGATACATGCAATGATCATCTTTTATTTATTTGTTTAAAACCTTTATCCCAAAAGGTAAAAAAAAACTGTTTGCTGTAACTGCTTATAAAGTAAGAGCTGGACTTTGGCTTCAATTTGTTGGTGTATTTAAATCAGGTAGTAGATCTAACACCCCCTCCCCCGATGCTGCTGTCCAAAGGTGCCCCTGTGCTCCTTCATCCAGAGTGGGGACACTCTAATAGAGGAGGTATGTTACTGGCTGGATCATCAGGTGAAAACAGAGAGAAAAAAGCCTAAAAAAAGAAAACTTATACAGACACTACATCATGATTGATAAGCTGCAATATATTACATTTCCACTCACTGTGGAACCTAAGGGGTTAATCTTCTGTATTGTGTAAAAAGGCTGTTTGATCCTGTTTTCTCTGTCCCTCCTCTTGTTCAAATGTCCACCTGAGAAGACAGAATGAACCTGTAACCACATGCACATGTTCAGTTTAGTGTGTATTGCTAGAGAGGTTTTTTTTTTTTCTTGGGAGAGTGCATGTGATCAGCACAGGGCCAATCAGCACTGTCCAGACAGAGGTCAGGGGTTTTGCATCCTCCTAGAGCAGAAAGAAAACTCCTCCTACAAGCATTAACCAGTGCTCTGCTAGACACTGATAGAAGTCACAAGACTGCTCTAACTGCTGATGAGAAAAGTATTTAGCAGTTTATGTTTACTAAAGTAATTGCACTTCCATGTTGTGTGTACTGTGGGAGACAAGATATAGTGAATGCAGGGTCCTGGGTTTAGTAACACTTTAATAGCGCTTTAAGAATACATATTTGAATACAGTAGGTTGTTCTTTTAAATCATTATGTTTCTGGCGTGGCTGTTTTGTCTCTTTCAATCTACTTCTGTGTACCCCAGTCTATAGTTTGAATTTACCACTAAAAAGATGCTTTTGTCTGAGTTTGGTTCATCTCAGTAATATATTATTTTTCTCTTGCACAGGAGCAAGTCCTTCTTTTTCTCTGTTCTCTATGCCGCCATAATATTTGCAGGCCAGCGTGTAATGAAAGAAAGGAAAAGATTTGAACTGCGAAGACCTCTAGTCCTGTGGTCGTTGGCCCTCGCTATCTTCAGGTGAGTAGGTGACCTTGTGTATGTAGAACCTCTACGGTAAATGTGATATAGAATGTTTTAAATCACTAGGCTCTGCAGAATTCAAACACTTTGAGTAACTGCAGCAGTAGCAGAGCAGACTACTACTACAGGGTACTACTACCAGCACCTTTCACTATTGTTTGGCTTCATCATGACTCATACATGCAGAAACTGCTCCTGTGAAAGCATTTTGGATCATTTGAATGAGTTTGCTTTTCAATGACCTCCACCCGATTACTATGAATGCAATTATAGTGACAGAGTCTACAGGATAAGTTCACTTTGGAACATGTTACATGCTCCACCTGTTTTTAGGGTGGAATATGTAACATGTTCCCATAGCCGCAGTTGCTGCCTCCCCTCCCTCTGACAGATAGCACAGGGAGAAGTTTCCCGGTACTATCAGTCAGATTTGAAAACAGCGCGGCTGTGCGGGGCTCCACCCACACGGCCACATCATTCATTCATGGACTTCCATGAATGTATGAGCTGCAAGTCCTAACAGCCATAGTGGCTGTTGGCTTGTAGTTTTCAATGAGCTACCATGACACTGTGGAGCGCCGTGATCGTTCATTGAAGCTTCCTGTCAGAATATCTGCTTGACCGTACATCCTGTACAGCAAGCAGATATTCTGACAGGTCTGCAGGAGATCTGCATGGCATCAATGATCTAATGATTGCTGGTGCAATGCTTTCCAGGCTTCTTTGGACAAAAATAATAAATGCACATTTTTTTACCTGCAAATAAATGTGCATTTATTATTTTTGTTCAAAAGGTGAACTTATCTTTTAAAGTGGATCTATGATCTATGGGCAAAGCCAAAAAGAACATACAGTATATGATGCAGTCTGTCACTAGCATTAACACAGCAGTCTTTGCTTTCCTTCTGTAACATGTTGTATTTCCAGTCCTGCTGGGAGGTCTGGTATTTTTCAACTTCCGCTAACCTTTTTGCTGCCACCCTCATAATAGTTATGCTGTGAAGGAATTCAAAAGAAATTCAAAAGGCCACTATAGCAGCCTTGTCCCAACTGCCAGCTTCCTGTCCGAAGTTACATAGTTAGTCTGATTGAAAACAGACAAAAGTTCATCCAGTTCAACCATTAAAAAAAAAAAAAAAAGTTTTAATTCTATACCCACAGTTGACCCAGAGGAAGGCAAAAAAAAAAACCAGCAATGCATGATCCAATTTGCTCCTGCAGGGAAAAAAATTCCTTCCTGATTCCCCGAGAGGCAATCGGATATTCCCTGGATCAACTTTACCTATAAATGTTAGTATCCAGTTATATTCTGTGTATCTAAGAAAAAATCCAGGCCTTTTTTAAAGCAATCAACTGAGCTGGTCAGAACCAACTCTTGAGAGAGTCTATTCCACATTTTCACAGCTCTCACTGTGAAGAAACCTTTCTGTGTTTGGAGATTACATTTCTTTTCCTCCAGACGTACAGGCATCCCCGTGCCTGACACTCCTTCCCCCACCATGTGTGCCAGGCACACTTGTCTCTCCTGAAGTGCTCAGGACCTCCATAGCTGGGGTCAGAAGACCAGCAGAAGATCAGCAAGCAATCGTTCAACTTGCAGAGTTGATTTAAGGGGTCTAATAGATCTAAGGAGAACTTGTCATCAAGTTTAGTACCTTCCTTCAATCTGAAAATTGAAGGAGAGAAGCAGAAAATTGTTGGCCAGATAGCAGCTGCATCCTATCAGATGCAGCCACTGTGCAGGAGTTCTGACAGCCGCAGGTGCTGGCTGTTAGAATACCAGCAGGATAGATTTGTCCATTATTCACGCTATTTAACATGGATGTGGGAATCAAGTGATCAGAGAAATCTTGTGGATGTCTAGGTTAACACTACCCTTATCATAAGATGACAATGGTGCTGTCCAGGGGTGGCTCCCCCATAGATATAGTGGAGGAGTGAGCATAGCCACCCAAAGAGAAGAAGTGTGTTACTGGTCAGAAACACTAGGTGAAAACTTAAAGTGACATTATTATTATTATTATACAGGACTTATATAGCACCAACAGTTTGCTGAGCGCTTTACATTATGGAGGAAGACAGTACAGTCTCCCTTCCATAATGTAAAGTTCAATACAAGAGGGATTAGAGGGCCCTGCTCCTTGGAGCTTACAATCTAGGAGGGAGGGGATAGTGGTACAAGAGGTAATTAGCTGTGGGGGATGGAGTGGTAGGAGGAGTAGTGGATTCCAGTATTAGCTGGGGGCAGGGTAGGCTTCCCTGAAGAGATGGGTTTTCAGAGTGCGCCTAAAGGTGAGCAGAGTAGGCGATAGCCTGATAGCTTGGGGTAGGGAGTTCCAGAGGATGGGTGAAGCCCTTGAGAAATCCTGGAGACGAGCATGGGAGGAGGAGACAAGGGAGCTAGAGAATAGGAGGTCTTGTGAGGAGCGGAGAGGACGGTTTTGGGTGGTATTTAGAGACAAGGACGGTGATGTAATTGGGGGCAGTGTTATGAACAGCTTTATACGTCAGTGTTAGTGTTTTGAATTTTATCCGTTGGGCAATTGGAAGCCAGTGGAGGGATTGGCAGAGAGAGGTGGCAGATATAGAGCGGTTAGTAAGGTGAATGAGTCTGGCAGCAGCATTCATGATGGACTGTAGTGGGGATAGCCTGCAGTGAGGTAGTCAAGGCGTGATATAATAAGGGAGTGAATGAGTTGTTTAGTAGTTTCCGGGGTTAGGAACGGACGTATTTTGGAGATGTTGCAGAGGTGAAGTCTACATGAGTTTGTCAGCGATTGGACCTGGGGCTGAAAGGACAGATTGAAGTCTAAGAGTACACCTAGAACCCTGGCGTGAGGTGTTGGACTGATGGAAGTGTTGTTGATCTTGATGGAAAAGTCGGGGGGGGGGGCACGGGGACATTAAATGATATATTTATTCTGCAAACCTAATCCATACACATCCACTACTTAATCCATTTTTCATAAAAGTGTTTCTTACTGTGTTTTTCTGCCTCTCTGTCACGTTCTCCATGAGCCTCTGGCCCTCTCATTTTGCTCCTCACTTTCATTGGTGTGGAATGAGCAATGCAGATTAGTTGTGTTTTTGTGCACACTGCTCTGTGGACACTAGAAATCCCATAGTCCACTTCCCCTAGTCCATCTCAGAAGTGGGTAGAGAGGGTGGCTGCGTTCCTACATAGAGTGGGACCATGGACAATGAATGTATCCGCTCTCTAACTGGATGTTGAATCACGGCAGAAAAAAAAGGAATTTGGAAATGTGGAGGAGGCCGAGAGCAATAGAAGGTACTTTTTTGAGTTAAGAATAGCATTTTTTAAAAACAGTTTTCTGTCACTTTAAAAATAAGCCTAAAAAATGAAAACTAATACAGCCACCACATCTAAGAACTGATAGGCTGCAATATATTACATTTTTGTTCTTGGGTGTAGATATGTCTTAAGTTTGTTTGTAAAAATTTCTATTGGCATTGCCTTTAACTGTGGTTTTGCCTCCACACAATTCTTTTGTGTTGATTTTAAGACAGGACTATGCAGAAGGTTGTGCATTAAAAGTAGATCTAAGCCCAAGCACTAAGCTTTATTATGTTTATGTAATACATGAATATTTTATTAATATAGTAGCCAGCGATCCTGCCCTGAAAGTTCTCGCTCAGGCATGTCCTTTTATGGGTGAAATCTGCCTCCCATCTTTACTCCTGCATTGTCAATCTGTCTCATGTGGTTTAGATAACATTTGGCCGTGCCAGCACAAATTGCAGAGGAAATCTGCCACTATCACTACCAGGGAGACGGTGCAGAGCAATGACATGCAGCCGATGATAGAGTGTGAAGTGGCTAAAAATCAGCACTGAAATACACGAAAATAAAAAATGAAGCAAAAAAAATCATCAGAACACTGAAATACACGTAAAAGTCATCTATAAAAATGTCCAACCGGTGCTTTTGCAAAAATTACATTTTTATGACCCAATCGGAACCTCCATTCTCCTCTATGGAGCAGTGGGTGTCCATACACTTACCGTTAACATACGATCTGATTGCTAAATAGGGAAAGTTCCAAATGTCCATCTAGGTCAAATAAAAACAAAGGCGGTCTGTTTTCACACCCACCGCTCTTTGCTCCAGAAGCGGAGGGGACACAGAGCTGTCATCCGCTTGCTCAGTGCACACTGAATGGGCTCTTTCACAGCGGATCCGCTAAATCCTGTCCGTCCCGCATGGTCAATGGTCTACATCTGATGGGGGTTTTTCAGGCAGACCCACCAGATTCTGTGTGTGCTCCAGTTTTACTAAATCTCCTCCATGTTTTTTATATGCCATGTTCACACTACAATGCTGCAGTGCTGTGCTAATAAAACGCAACACATCTGAATTTTATCGTTTACAGCGCACATCCCATAAAATGCAAACGAACATGAAATATTAATTTTAATATGAAGACGATTACTAGATCTGATCCGAATTATTCAAAAAAGATTTGGAACAGAAATGGGGTTCCAATTTCCCCTTCAGAGAGCCGTGCCATCTTTAATCTTGGGTCTCAAACTGTAGTCAAAACATGCAGACAGTGCGTCGTCTTGAATTTTCACCATTTGGGCAGTCACGCACGACGAAGATCAGCTGAAAAGAAGAATGAAAAGCAGAAGAATGAAAAGAAGAAGAAGAAGAATGGAAGAAAGAGAAGAAGAATGAAAAGAAGAAGAAGAAGAATCATGAAAAGAAGAAGAAGAAGAATGAAAAGAAGAATGAAAAGAAGAATGAAAAGAAGAAGAAGAAGAATGAAAAGAAGAAGAATGAAAAAAGAAGAAGGGAATGAAAAGCGAAGAAGAAGAAGAATGAAAAAGAAGAAGAAGAATGAAAAGGAATGAAAAGAAGAAGAAGAAGAATGAAAAGAAGGAAGAAGAATGAAAAGAAGAATGAAGAAAATGAAAAGAAGAAGAAGAAGAAGGAAAAGAAGAAGAAGAAGAATGAAAAGAAGAATGAAAAGAAGAAGAAAAGGAAGAAGAAGAATGAAAAGAAGAAACAGAAGAAGAAGAAGTCATGAAAAGAAGAATGAAAAGAAGAAGAAGAATGAAAAGAAGAAGAAGAATGAAAAGAAGAAGAAGAAGAATGAAAAGAAGAATGAAAAGAAGAAGAAGAAGAATGAAAAGAAGAAGAAAGAATGAAAAGAAGAATGAAAAGAAGAAGAAGAAGAATGAAAATAAGAAGAAGAAGAATGAAAAGAAGAAGAAGAATGAAAAGAAGAAGAAGAAGAATGAAAAGAAGAATGAAAAGAAGAAGAAGAAGAATGAAAAGAAGAAGAAGAATGAAAAGAAGAAGAAGAATGAAAAGAAGAAGAAGAAGAATGAAAAGAAGAATGAAAAGAAGAAGAAGAAGTGAATGCTGAAAAGAAGAAGAATGAAAAGAAGAAGAAGAAGAATGAAAAGAAGAAGAAGAAGAATGAAAAGAAGAAGAAGAAGAATGAAAAGAAGAATGAAAAGAAGAAGAAGAAGAAGAATGAAAAGAAGAATGAAAAGAAGAAGAAGAAGAATTAAAAGAAGAAGAAGAAGAATGAAAAGAAGAAGAAGAAAAGAAGAATGAAAAGAAGAAGAAGAAAAAAAAGTATTCCAGTACAGCAAAAAGTGTATCTGCAGAGAGCTCCGCTATTCTGACAGTTCTCTGACAGTTCCTTCACATTTACAGCGGCTGAAACATTGTATCTATTTATTTCCGAATAAAAACATCTGTATCCTAAATGGAAACAAATAGATACAATGTTTTCAACCGCTGTAAATGAACTGTCAGAACTGTCAGAAATAGCGGAGCTCTCTGCAGTGACACTTTTGCCGGCTGCGGGAAAAATTCGATTCGTGCACCCGAAGTTGGCTAAAATTCGGATTCGATGCGAATCGAATTTTTCCCGATATTCGAAACGAATTCCACTTCGCCTGGTTCGATTCGCTCATCTGAAACGATTACACTCAGTATTGACAAAAGGGTCACTAACCCCTATAAAGTAATTATGGTGGAATTCTTGTGTGCCGAATTCTTGTGTGCCAGATGGTTTCACCTTTCATTGATCATGCTTGTATAGTAGAAGAATCTCTCAGGATGATGATGCAAATCCTGAAACAAGGACTGAAACTTTCCTTTACTTTCAAACAGACAAAGCAATGGATGAACCCAGTAGAGTGGTTTGGCATGTCTCAATCTCCTTTTCCCCCTCTCTTGTAGCCTCCATCTCTTGAGATGGACAGGAGACTATGGACTATGGGATGTGTAGTGTGCATAGAGAAGAGGATATTAAAAGGGGAAAAATTAATAAGAAACAATTTAATGAAAAATAGGTTACAGGGCCATTAAGAAGTGGGTGTTTGTGGATTTTTTGAAGAATAAGGATATTGTTTAGTGTGCCTTTAAATTTATATTAATAAAAGAAATACAGACCCATTCAGTGGGTTCAAGTGTGAGTTCTGCTAAAAAAATATATTCAAGTAATTACACAAAATTGAGGAAGATTATGAAAACTTGGGCAAAAGCAATCCTCGTTGCTCATTGGCTGCAATGATGTGGCGTATGGCCGTTTGCAGTAATCCCCTTAGATTTTATATCCATCATTCCACCTCCTGAGTATCTTTTACTGTAACGCATGGAACATGTTGTTGCTTGCTTAAACGTACGTGTTTAATATACAAGCTTGTATGTAGACGTTGTGTTTCATGCTATTACTTAACAAGTCACAACGAGTTTCCCATGTTATCTGAGATCCTCGTATTCATTATATGTAATGTGTTCTGTTTGCTGTTGTCGAGGGAAGCCCAGATATTTCTGTTACCGCTACTCTTTGTTTTACCATGCTGTTGCTCAGATAAAGGTTGCTAGTAAATAATTCAATGGACTGGTCTACCCTCGAGTGCTTCAAATGTTATTTACAGTGACAAAGGTAGTTGTCTGTATCCTAGTAAAAGAACACTGCTCTGCCCTATAAATACAAATGTATATGAATATATACTATAGATTATACATAAATAATGATGTGGGAACTTCTTGAAGCACATAATGTGGATTTATTAGAGCTATGGCTACCAATATGGCATTGCCAAGCTGATCCTTAGCATATGTATGGCCATCCGATCAGTTGAGCCCAACTTTGACCGTTGGGTTTTTGTTAGTTCCCATGGCTGCAGATTATACTTGGGTTTCATTTCTAATACCATCTTATTTGCGTTGTAGCTTTGTCTCTGGTTTACTTAAAGCAGAACTTCACTCTTATCATAAAAAAAAAATACAGCAAACGCACCTTAAAAAATGTTTAGTAATGGCTGTCTACAACAGATATTTATAGATAATTGAAGACTTTTTAGGCCTGGTTCACAGTAGTGTGACTTAGAACAGTGTAATTGTGGAAAAGGTTCCTAGCCCCATAGAATATGCAAAGTCACAACAATGTCACACTACATAATCGCACTGTAAATCTCATCAAACTCACATTGCAGTATTGTGAACTGAGCCTTATGCTTTGCATACCTTTTTAAATTTTCCTCCCCTTTCTCCTCAATCCATTTCCCTTTATTTTCTGGAACTCTGAGTCTGCCTCCTGAAACATGTGACAGTGGATATTATCTGAGGGGAAAGGTACTGGTGATGTAGCCTTCCCAGGATGCATCTGTGAAGCCCTAGTTACATCACCAGTGCTTCACTCAGCTAGAAAGTGATAAAACAGTAATTGCCAGTAAAAGCAAAACATGTTTAAATAATGAATGTAAGATGATTTTATATGAACATGGAAAGCTGCATTCTGATGTGATTTCTAGTTGAAGGGGAAGAAAGGTCCAATTTAAAGACACAAATTAATGCAGCTCTGTATTCCTTAATACACCCTTAAATGTATGTTTTTAAAGCGGCCCGCCTCAAAAAACAAAATTAAAAGTCAGCATCTACAAATACTGCAGCTGCTGACTTTTAATATTAGGGCACTTACCTGTCCATGGATCCAGCAATGTGCTCACCCCCAGCCGATTCTTCAATCAGCTATCTGGTGCTGGTGCTGGTGCCGCCATCTTAACTAAGAGAAACCGGCAGTGAAGCCTTGCAGTTTCACAGTCAGTTTCCTACTGCGCATTCGCAAAGCGCGCTGTACTTTGTGAATGGGCCGCAGTCCTCTGGGACCTGTTAAGTTTTGCACAGGGCCAGGGGGAGGGGCGGTACCTGTCAAGCTGGCTGCCTACCTACAGTCTTTTGAAATCCCTGTAAAGCAGAGCTCAGGCTGGGGAGGCAGAAGCAAACCATGATGCCATTTGGTTGTCCTACTGAGCACAGAAGATGCACACAGGAGAAGAGAGCAAAGTGACAAAGAGAGATGAGATCATCAGTTTGCTGCTTCTCCTTTCACTGTCCAGTCACGGTAGGGTGGGGAGGAGATATCTAGGGCTACTTTCTCATGGGTGCCTTTCTGAAAAGCAAACAGCAGTGGATCACTCTTCAGAGGTGGCCAGCTACATGTTTGGAAAGCAGAGTTACTGCCAAATGTGACATAGTGAGTTTAAAATGCCACAACATGAACTGAAGGATCGTGTCTACAACAATGTGATCAGACCTGAGAATCTACCATATCTGCTTGTAGGTAGGCAGTCAAGCGCAGTAAAAATGTAGATCAACTGCCTATTTTAATCACCCATTTGCCACTTGAACTTGAGGGACAGAGATACAAATCCTTTGACAGGTAAAACCTCTCACTTACATGTATTTTATCTGTGTATTCAACTGATTGCCTGGTATTCAGATTTAAATACGTTATACTGTTTTCATGGTGTAAAGTTATTGATTATTTCCACAACAGTACACAAATCAGTGTCTTATAAATTGACTATCTTTACATTTGGTCTAATATTATCAGGGGAGCTAGATACAGCAGAAGCATTACAATCCATAACAATGTTATTTAACAAGTCTAATATGTTGACTCCTGCTATTCTTTATGGCTTGCAGTATCATCGGAGCAGTCCGCACTGGCTATTATATGATTACCTTGCTCCTGTCTAGCGGCTTCAATCAATCAATATGTGACCGTGGATTTTATAATGGGCCTGTTACCAAGTTCTGGGCATATGCCTTTGTCTTGAGCAAGGTCCCTGAGCTTGGTAAGTAAAATACCTTTACTTTTGGCTATTCAAATCTCTGCTTTTGAATCTCTAAATCCATATTTTTTTCATTTCAAAGATAAACACAGTCACAAAGAAATTATCTGAAGTATGTCTAAGGTAAAAGAGGATGACTTCTAGAGCCCTGTCACTTTGAACTCTTTCAACCTACAACCCTAGAGGGAAGCTATTTATGCTGGTGATGATACAATCTCTCCACAGTTACAGGGATGACACAAAATTGAGTTAATCTGATATGAAGGTATTACCATGATGCAGCTGGCCCCTTTTGTAAATGTCTTTCAAGTACAATATTATGGTGTGTGCTATTTAGCACACAGAAATAAAATTATAGATATTTTTTATAGCCTATTATTCCCCATGGGTGTGTTCTGTTACAATGAATTCTTAGGTATTCCCACACATGTTTTTTTTGTTTGTTAGACTCTTAGAAAGAACCAGCTTGTGTGGAATGCAGACAAACTGGCCATTATATATCTTTACTATCAAAACTTCAATTTTTGCAGCTTTGTGAAACCAAAAGAATTTTCCTCTTAGGTCATCTTCATCTCCAAGCATTGCATTATTTTTTTCACTTTTTTTAAGTCAACTTAACAGGTTTACATTTGGGAAACTCTTTAAGTATATATACACTTTCTTTGCTTTGGTAAACCCATGGGCCGAACAAGAGAAAATCAGTAGGTTCCCCCATCAATACTGAACAGCATTGATGGAGGATTCTGCACCACCAGCTATTGTATTTAGACATCCATGGCACCCATGGCTGTCTGAATTACTGAGCAGTGACTGCAACTTCTTAAATCAGACTTTTTCAGATCAAGTGGTGCTGACTCCTGCTGAATCAGCCAAAAATGGGTTGTTTATGGCTAGCTTTAGACTTTGCGCATGCTATCATCTAAAAAGCTGCTGCATGTGCCTCCATATCTCTGTAACAGCTTCCGACCTCTTACTTTCCTTGCACACTTTTCAACAAATATTGGCCATAAGACTGCTGATAATAGTAATAGGCCAATAGGAATGTGTGTGGAGCAGGGATTAACAGCTAGCGTTGATACTATCCAGAAGTGTTAAAGCTGTGCGTATCAGACCCCAGCCAGCATTCAGCCATGAGAAAAAGGTTTTTGCTGCAGGTATGTATGGATGCTCCTAGGCGGCATGATAGACCTATAACAATTGTCTTGTAGCTAATAAAGCCTCATCAATGAAGCCTGCACTGTTTGAATGAAAGAGGATAGAACAAGAAAGTGCTTCTAAGTGCAGTATATCCAGAAGAATCCGAAAGACTGATTTGGTCTTGAAGGAGGAGCTCTGCGCAAGTTTCGAAACACGTCACCGTTCCACGCCCGTTCCTAACCCACGTAACTTCCGGTTGCAGTCTTCTGGACAGCGCGCGCTCCAGCATGCGTTCCAGCAATCCCAGAACTTGCAGTGGCCATCTTTTACATCTGATCCTCCACTCCCCCTGCAGCTGCTGGCCGGCACAGCTGGTTCCTGCATGGTGGATTGAGCCTCTGCACTCTGACGATTCTATTGAGCCTGTTTTAATCACGAGTTTGTAAGTGTTTCTAACCGTCATTATTAAAGATTCTTCTGGATATACTGCACTTAGAAGGGCCTTCTTGTTCTATTCTCTTCCATATACAGAGTTTGCTTTAACTTCCAGAAGTGCTGCCCGGTGCCTGTTGTCCAGTATCTCCTCCATCCCTGGCAGACATCTCTTAGTCCACAGCCTCCTTCAGTGATGTGCCCTATACATATCCTCTACTGTTTGAATGAAATACCTACATCATTGGCAGGATGACTATATTTATTTACATTTTTGTTCATATAAAGATAATCTATTTTTGTGTAAAGGAATGAGTTGTAAGTCAGATGACTGGCTACTAAATGATACCGTATATTATTCTGGGGAAAAATCATAAACTCAGTAGCAAAACCAGTTATAACTGAAGCAAATAATTTATGTCATTTGAGATAAAAACTTTCTTAACCTTTTACCATGAAGGAACCCTTGAAAACATTTTCAGGTCTCAGGGATACCCCATTAACAATTCATATTCATGCAATCAGTAGGTTGTAAAGAGTTCTAAATAAAAGAATAAAGAACGGTATATACTTAAGCCCCTCCCCTCTCTATATATAACACAATTATCTTTAGTGGTAAATATGAAACTAAACAAATAATAAGTGCAAATTGTAAAGACCTCTTACTTTGGTGGTTAGTATAGGCAAGAGAACAATCTGCCAATGCCCTCTCCACAAGGACCCCTAGCAACCACTTAGAAGAACCCAGGTCCCCCAGAACCCTGGTTGAAAAAGACTAGATAAATGTTTAGACTATAGATAAGTCATGTTTTTAAGCCTAGCTTTCTTCTAGAGGTGATGTGATTTTGTGTGTCATCTGACCATCAAAAGACATCTTTTAATTCAGATTTTAGTAATAACCCTGAACAGCTGAGCAATCATGTTTACGCTATGGATCAGGGAAGGCATAGGCACATGTAGACCTGTTTAGCCTTAGCTTATATTAGGGAACAAAAGCAGACACATTTTTTGCTGCAGTCTCTCAACCAGTGGTATTTGTAAATGCCAAAAGACATGAGTTTATAACTGATTAACTGCCTTTTTTGTAATCTTCTTTGTGTCCTCTTTTGTTCAGCATTGAGAGTGTTTGGTGTCACAAATATGAATCTTTTGAAATGCTGAAGACCTACACTAATTCTTCTTCTGTTGCTCTACAGGAGACACTTTGTTCATTGTCCTTCGCAAACAAAAGCTGATCTTCCTACACTGGTATCATCACATTACTGTACTGCTCTACACCTGGTACACATATAAGGACACCGTGGCTGGAGGAGGATGGTTCATGACAATGAATTACACTGTCCATGCTTTCATGTACTCTTATTACACACTGAGAGCAGCAGGGATCCATGTGCCACGATTCTGTGCCATGTTCATCACAGTGACCCAGATCCTGCAAATGGTAATGGGCACTGTGGTCAATGTTCTGGTGTACCGGTGGATGCAGGATGGGACATGTTCAAGCACAATGGAGAACATATTCTGGTCAACTATGATGTACTCAAGTTATCTGGTGCTTTTCTGCAGCTTCTTTTATAATGCTTATATGAAAATTCCAGCCAAGAGTAAGAAAGAATAACCTGTATTTAAGTATAGACTGTGAACTTGCCATCATACATTTCCAGCTGTTACCAGGTACAATATTTTATAAATATTTTTGAAAAAAATTAATATTTTTATATCTAAAAATGTTCTATCGCCAATATTGGAAGTAGTTTTGAAACGCTGCAAAAATCTGAACTGAAATGTATTCTTATTTTGCCATAATAAGAAACCAACAAATACATTTTGACAATTCCCAGTTAAATGTCCTGATTGAGTTGAATTTTCTGGAGCTCAAAACTCCAGAAACTACTATTTAGATATGTACTATTCACACATATGTTATCTATGCCCAATATTGATGATCCAGATATGCAAAGGCTGTTTATAATGGGCCATTTATTCAAAGTTCCAAATTTTAATTACTAATGAACACGCCGCTGTGACCAAGCCCCGATGGGTGGGGCAAAATGCATCAGAGGGCTTGGCTAGCGCGGTGCTGAGGCCACTCCACACATACAACACACTGGACACCCAGGGCTGGTCTTGAGCAGTGTCCACTCCCCCTTATCTCTTCCCAGACACTGGAACAGACTAAGGACACTGCTCCTTTCATTCCCATGCTGGTGGGGGTGATCCTTTCTGCTTATCTGGCTTTGGAGCAGCGCCTTTAAGCTTTACACATGATTTACTAATGAACATTGCTTTAAATATTTAAGCTTGATGACACATTTGCAACACAACGTCTACTGCTTAAATGAACATTTTAGGAAATACCTCACTGAGTCTAAACCAAAGAATCTTCAATTTTATTTGGCACTTAAATGTGTATAGTTAGTGGAATGACATCATGACATGTCTAAAAGGCTTTATGAACTGTGGTGTTTACTTTGCTAAAGATATGAAAAGAAATGGCTATTTATTTATTATTACAATACTGCAGACGTCCTTTACTATTTTTATACCCAATCCATTCTTCTTTAATGGAGGAGGAGCAGCAACAGCCTGATATGTATCCAGACTGGCTCAGAATGTTGCCATTCCCCTTCTTGGAATGCCGTACAAGGTTTACAGATTTCAAGAGGCTGAAATCAAGTCATAATCAGATATTTACACATTGAAAATACATTTATTGATTTTTTTTTCATTGAATACATAGCTGCATTCATTTGTGTTTTTAATATATTTACTTCAAAGTAAACCTGCCGCGAAGAAACATGGATACTTCAATTGATGACCTGTCTTTCTTATAATGTTAATTGTCTGGTTGTCATGTTGTCTTTCTGTCTTTTTAATACATTGAGTCAATGGTCTGGAAAACAGTTTTCAAACAGTGACTTGTTTTTCTAGATTTCTAGATTTGCATACTTGTTCTGGGTTATTGAATAGGAATGTATTGTAACCAGAGGGTCAGCAGAGTAACAGACAGGTAGTTGGTTGAGATAGTTGAAGGCCTAATCAGGGCTCCTCCTTTAGCTTCCCTCAACACAAGTTACTGTTACTAGATGCTACTAATCTGTTTGCATTAGAATACCAATTGTATTTACGATTAAAAGTATTTTTTGCAGTGTTAGACCTTGTCCACTTTGATGTGAAAATCCACTATCAAGGCTTTAAGTCAATATATATGTCTGTGAATGTGTGAGAATAGTAGAGCAATGCATTAGGAATTATATGGGCCTCTGTATGTATAGTGATTTACAAAGAGAATCACCTTTTCATTGAACCTTCCAACAATCATCTGTGCAGAAAACTAGAAAATTAAAATTCCCCATCCTTTTGATGTCTGAGCACACACAATTACTAAAATAATCTGTTTATTGAGTACAGTATATCTGTTTCTAAAGTCTCCTTCTGGTTAGCCTTTTAACCAAGTCTAAAAGCTGGGCCTAAAGGAAATAGGAATAAATTAGACATCAGCCTGTACTCTGATTGGCCTCCATCAGGATATCTTTCACTTTTAATCTTTTATGGAAAAGGACAATTGAATCTGAAATAAATACTGCTAGTTTTTTTTTATTTTTTTTTACTTTTTTGTTTACCTGTCACAAAGCAAAGCTGCTGGATATTTGACTGTTTTATATTTTTATGAAATTTTTGCCTGTGTAACATAATTGGGTTTTTAATACGTGACCCAAAGAGCAGTAATGATGTATGGAGTGCAGTTTCATTGCAATCAAAAGTCATTTACATGAAGTCAGACAAGATAAAGATCATTTATGACTGGTTGCCAGTTGTAACTATACTTTTGCCATTGCTTCTTCACTTATTAAAGAAGTCAGAATATGTCCTTTAATTATTCAGGTTATAACATTTTATAATCTCTAGCTTTTAAAAGTGAACTGGTGCTATGAATTAACTATTATTCTTCAAGTAGAACATTTAGCTACACTTAGTCATACTGCTGTTTTGCAAAGACTGATGCTGGAAGCAGGGGCGGACTGACCATTCAAGCACTGGGTCAGTAGGGGGCCCCATGAAATGCCCCTGGTACTTTTTTTATAGGCTTTTTTGGGTGTGGACAAGGACACAGGGGCCCCATGATCCCCTATTGCCCGGGAGCCCCATGAGTTGTCAGTCCGCCCCTGGCTGGAAATAGTCTAAAATAGTAATATATGGCTGCAATATAAGAGCTTGATGTCTATGTGTATAGTGACTCCTAGATGAAGTAAGGGGATACTCTCATGATCAGCGTGTTTCCTTATATGCTGTGAAATGTCCCATGATCTGATAATGGAGATATAAAACATGTAACTGAGTTAGTTCCTAACTGAAATTCATTCCTTAAACTGTAAATTGTACTTTCATGTATATTATATACACTTACAGAAATATATTTTTCAAAGAAATCAGTGCTCAAATATTTGTACATTGTACTATGACAGGTGATGTTTATATTTGTGGCATTAAATTAAAGTTTTTTTTTAAATTTAAACCTGTGCATCAGAGTGAACTACTATGTCATTTGTTTTTGTTTTATATCATTGTGATTGCCAGTGCCTACCTCCCCTCATTTACACAGCACACAAATCCATCCTAAGCTAATAGCTGCCACACCTCTCCGCCTGCTTCAACTCCTGTCACCTCATTATGGATTATGGAACAGGTTTTTCTTGCTTTTCTGTGAAATGTTGTGCCAAGAGTGACAAGGATGCAAACACGAAAATGTACAGTATGTGGTATTCACAAAGTCTATAAATATAAAATGTACTATCTGCAAGCATACTGGCTTAAAGTGGTTGAAAAGGCTAAAGGTGTTTTACCTTCATGCTTTCTATGCATGAAGGTAAAAAACCTTCAGTGTGCAACCCCACGTCCTCCAGCCCCCCTATACTTACCTGAACCCAATCCCGATCCAGCGATGTGCACAAGAGCAGCAGCTCTCCTGGGTCTCTCCCTGCTCATTGGCACACAGCAGTAAGGGAGGGGGGGTGGGTTGAGCCATGCTCTGTGTGTCTTATAAACACATGCTCTGGGGGCATTCAGCAGGGGGAGGAGCCATGAGCACCTGCGAGAGACCCGAGAAAAAAAGAGGATCAGGGCTGCTCTGTACAATATCATTGCACAGAGCAGGTAAGTATGATATATTTATATATATATATATATATATATATATATATATATATATATTGCTCAGCATAAATGAGTACACCCCTTTTGAAAAGTAAGATTTTAATCAATATCTCAATGAACACAAGAACAATTTCCAAAATTTGGACAAAACTGAGTTTTATAGAACATTTTTTTAGCTTATTACATAAAAGTAAGTTTAATAATATAACTTAGATTACAAAAGCTTCAGTTTTACTCAAATTAGTTGAATTAATACACCCCACAACAAAAACTACTACATCTAGTATTTTGTATGAGCTCCATGATTTGTAAGGACAGCACCAAGTCTTCAAGGCAAGGAATGAACAAGTTGGCGACATATTGCAACTTCTATCTTTTTTCCATTCTTCAAGAACGACCTCTTTTAGAGCCTGGATGCTGGATGGAGAGTGATGCTCAACTTGTTTCTTCAGAATTCCCCATAGGTGTTCAGTTGGGTTCAGATCAGGAGACATACTTGGCCAATCAATCACTTTCACCCTGTTTTTTTTCAGAAATGCAACAGTGGCCTTAGATGTGTGTTTTGGATCATTGTCATGTTGGAAAAGTGCACGACGACCAAGGGCATGAAGTGTTGGTAGAGTCTTCTCTTTCAATATAGAGCAATACATCTGTGAATTCATGATATCATCAATGAAATGCAGCTCCCCAACACCAGCAGCACTCATGCAGCCCCACAGAAGGACACTGCCACTACCATAGGCACCATGAATTTTTCTTTGCACTTCTCACCTTTGCAACGTCATACAGTTTTGAAGCCATCAGTTCCAAAACCATTTATCTTGGTCTTGTCACTCCAGAGTACAGAGTCCCAGTAGTCTTCTTCTTTTTTAGCATGGGCCCTGGCAAATTCTAGGTGGGCTTTTTTGGGCATGGGCTTTAGGAGAGGACAACACCCATGCATGCCATTCCATTGCAGTGTACGCTGTATTGTATCACGGGAAACAATCACCCCAGTTTTGCTTTCTACTTCTTTAGCTAACTGCAATTAAATTTCATGGACATTTTCTTCAACCCTTCTCATCAGAAGAAAGGTGTTAACTGTTGTGGATTGCCTGGACGTCTCTGTGAGATGGTCGCATCTCCTTTGTTAGATTTTTGTATGACTTTTGCTACAGAATTTTGACTGATAAGTAAAGCTTTGCTGATCTTTTTGTAGCCTTCAATTTTCTTGTGTAAAGAAATGAATTCCTTTCTCAGGCATAATGACGTTTCTCTTCCATGTGGTGCCATTTCTGACATCATGAAATGGGAGGGGATTTTCTTTAAGTAACGCCCTTTTATAATCAACTGTCTGCTGCACACCTGTTTAATGAATAATTAGACTCACCTGTAGTTAAATTCTTGTTAATTAGGATTTTGTTGTTTAAAATTTGACTTTGCTCCTAAAACTTTCATTGGGGTGTATTCATTTTTGCTACATGG